TTTTCAAGCTAAATTCAAGGTGGCCTGAGACCACGGTTTGCTGCCCTGAAGCACTCTGTTCAGGCCACCTTGAAAATAAAGGTGTAGTTGGCACCTTGCTTGCAGCTACCAGGTATAGTACTTCAAGTCCCCTTTCCGTCAACCGCTCGATAGCCTCTACACACGCGCAGCAATCCACAGCTTTGAAGTCTCATTCGTGCTTTGAACTTGTGTGGGTGTGTAAGAGGTTTGGCAACATAGTATTTGTACGGACCCAGGCTAGCTTCAGAGCAACATGCAAACGACTATAGGATTAAAACTAAACTAAATAAGCCACCTGCCTGACCTTAGTTTTGGGCACGTTCAAGGGCTGGATTCAATCTTGTGGGCATGCTTCTGCTTGCACCAGAGTGGTCGACTGTGGACACCTGAAGGGGACTCAGGTGAGGATTTGGAAGGTCAGTCAAGGGTCCATATGCAATATGTTTCCATAATCCAACCCTTAGGGTTTATAGGCGGTATGTCTAGGTGCACACTCCCCGAAATAAGCATAGAAGTGGATGGCATAGCCCCAACAGGTGGTTTTCCACTTCTATGATTAGTTCAATCGATGTACACAGTGTACCCCTTGGACTTTTTGGTATCTCCATTGCTCACTGGCCATTTCTGAAGGTCTATCACACTTGTGGGTGCAATGATGAATCGGTGATGTCAATTATCGAGCACCCAGCAATAGTTGGTGAAAACCAGACCATAGGTAGGGTCATGCTCAACCTTAGTGGATCAGACCCAGTGTCAACCTGTAAAGCAAGTCCCGTTCATGTGGCCATGCTGCACTTCCCACAGTGAGACCTCCCATTCCATGTCCAGACACCAAATGATGTCAATGTGGATAGATTTGGCTACGGCCTAAAACATCGGATTCCATCCAAACCCCCCCTTGTGCAGAGGAAATTTCCGGGCAAAATGACACCGAATCCCTCAATTGCCAGGAAGCGCAGGTTTTTGTTTTGACATGGTTACCTCTGTGTGGGCAGAACAAGACATGAAGCAGATTTGACACGCGGCCGCAAGCAGCTGCGCGAGCTCATTTGCTTGCTTCGACGCGCAGTTGTCGAGAAAGGGAAGCGCTGGCTTTCGTTTTGCAGCTTCTCAGGTTAGTTTAGTATTTACGGCTCGATCTGGGCTTGATTAATAGAGGTTACTTAATCCTAGGTGTGCATTATGACATCGGTTCACGACCTTATTCTGGGAATTACACAAACTTTGCAAGCAACATGCGCTTGGGGTAATGTAGGACGTTCTGTGTGCCATGGAAACCAGAACTCTGAACCGCGACGAGGGGTTTGGTACATTACGCACGAACAGAGTTGTTCTGCCCCACCTATATTTGCCCCTTTAAGTTCTCCTCGGATGGCGCGGGATGGTTCAACTTCGACGCTGACGCAGGACGTGAAGAGGACCAAAACGTCTACTTGGCTGCGCTGGCCAAGGATTTCAACATGACCCTTGGCGCGAACTTGGAGGAAACAAGAGGGGGAGGTGGGCCTGTTTCAAAACTGGGGGAGATTCGCCAACACCTTTCCCAGACCATCCCTGATCATCCAATGCTTAAAATTCGTTACATCCTGCATTCACCCCATTGATGACCCTGAGGTAGGTAATTAACTATTCCATACATGGACGGTCTGGGATTGTCCACATGCAACATTAGAGTCATTAGAAGAAATGTTTGCAAACTCTGAAGTCGAGTAACTTGCTTTTGGAGGGGAATTTGTCCTGGAGTGACTGAGACATAGAGGTCATCAAGTTTGTTGGGATATTCACAAATAAATGCCACTTGCGTTCAGGATGTGCTATATAGAAGCCGTTGAACACTTCGCCGTGAATGGTTGAATGGGCCTCAATGAATCAATGAAATTATGCTAGTGCTTCTACTAGAAATTTGACTGAAAATTGATAGCGCAAAGGTAGCCCTCTGACTTACTTACATGGAAATGGAAAGCCACTTGTTTGCCTTGCTTGTAGAAGGAAGTCGTCTTCCTTACGGGGCCATGCCATCAGAATGGACCCGCGCTTCCCTCCGTTGGAAAAAAATCTCAGAACCTTAGAGGTGACATCTTCGCCACCAGGCTGACAGGCTGACAAAGCCACACGGTAGTATCAGTATTACTGTATGTGGGCTTGTCTTTTAAGAGGGTCCCAACCAGTGGGCCATTTAGTCGATGTTCCTTCTTCCAGAGGGTCTTTGGGAGGTCTCCCTATTTCAATACACACCCATGTAATGATACAACAGGTGCTCGACCTTCGATACAAGCAATAGTTTTTTGTTGCTGCGTGCTCTACAAGACTATCACACCATTTTTCAGCAATCGCAATGTCCAATATATGCTTGACTTGGACACAGGTTTTCGGCAGCTGCGTGAAGGCCATCCTTCATGTGAGTTATGGGAACGGATACCGCTGTTGTACTACCGGCTGTTTATCGCTGCTGGTGTGAGCTGTTCACCCATGTCCACCCCAAGGTCATGGGCCCACCTCTTTGCAGAGGCTATTGGCACCGGAGCAAATCCTTTCCTTCTAACACCCAATGGCAGGGTATGGAAGACTAAGCAATACAAGAAAGACCCCGGAGGTAAGTGAATAGCTTTGCCAAATTGGATCAGCTAAGATATGATAAGATTTGTTGGTTATTTTTTCCTTCAGCCTACCAGAGCACACTGGGATCCTCCAGCCTCCGCCGGGATGCCTCAAGGTCCCTGCCGTACCTCTCCTATTTGTGCCGCAGCTCCCCGTCCAGCATTCGTCGCACCATGAAGACCATGTTCCCGACGGTGCCCAGCGACAGCCAGTGGCCTGGGCAAGCTGGATCTGCCTTGGGTGATGGAACATGCTTGAGGGGATGTGCATCGCCTGTAGCCTTGCTTGGTGCCAAGTGAGTGGTTAACCTGCTTCTAGCTTGGCCGCGAAGAAACACATTACACAATTGACATTCCTTCCTTGTGCTTCTCCTTGCGAGCTAGAACGCAGGGTAAGTGTTGGGGTCAATCAACTTCCACAGTCACCCATTGGTGGACCCAGACCATTTTAAGCAGATGGGCTGTGGAGTTTGGAATTGGCCCAAATGTATTTGGTCCTCCCACTTGTTGTCTCTTCATTAGTGACCTCAGATAAGAAGGAGGGGCTAGCATCTATTTGTTTGGGGGATGTTGCCCTTCCTAAACGCTTCCTGGGCTTTCTGGAGGAAACTACGGTCAGGAAAATTGGTCATGAGAAAACAATTGGTCTCGAGAAAAAGGCCCAAGGATTGGTGATTGGAGGATGTTGGAGTCTTTCTTTTGGTGACCCCCCCAGCATCTTCAGAAGGAACTGTCCAATTCCACGCGGAGAAAGCCAATTCCTGTGGGTCCCCCCCCTGAAGACTAACTCACATGGACCCTGAAGTTCAGAACCACTGGCTAAGTAGAGGAATGCAATCTTCCAGGCATCCAGGACGTCAGTCCGTAGGACCCAACGATACCCAAAGCACCTGCAAACGAGATGCTGGTGGGTGGGTCCCCGGTTTCGCCGAAAAACCGCATGGCTGTCTCCTCCGAGTCTTAGACATTCACCAAAAGACACCAAGGAGTCGTAGAGGAACCGAAAGACTGGAGCCCAAAGAATTCTGAGTAGTTGATGTATTTGTTGGTTTTGATTGGATGCATACAAGCACCTGAAGACTATGACAAAGACGTGTTGCAATCCATTGCTGCACCCATGCAATGCAGTCAAGATCACACAGGGCCAGCCTGAGACGCACAAGTCATTAAATCGAAATCCGCTAAGGCAGGCATGATGCAAGGCATGCTAGAGATTTGCAATATGACAGCTCTCAACTATTCTCAACTAATCATTAATCATACAACTGTGCAACTGGTTTTGTGTTACACTTTATATATATATAAGGGCATTCCGAATGTGGCCCTTTCAAGCAGCACTTCGACAACATGGTAACATGGTTCTAGAAAAAGAACGGCCCCCCCAACCCCCCTAGCTAAAGCTATCAGTGCATGCGTATTGGTGCCTATTAAGCTGCTTTCTGTGTAGACTCAACCGCTTTGCAATGTTCACACCGCGGCACCCAGAACATGTTGGCGAAATCTTTGGGGGACTATATTGGACTGCTGCTGATATAGTACTATAATGGACTAGACTATATTGTATCATAAGTGGGCATGGGGCTGTATATTATGAATTAATGTCAGTGGGACCGTTTTGTATGTATATATCTATACACACTAAACTGCCCTATGTACAAATATAGAGCACATTTTTTTCCTTGAAGCCTAGCGCGTGACTGTATTAGCCGCCTATCTGGTTTCTTCCATCAGCTTCCAGCGCTCCAGGGCTTTCCCCACTGCAGGTCGCGGTACTTGGCCATGCTTTGCTTACCGACCTTGGCGGACTTTTACACCTGCCGTTTGGCTGAAGTGTTGAGCCTTGATGCATTGTTATTGTTTGGACCGATTCCTGCACGCTTTAGCCTGGTAGGCGGTCTAGAAGGCTTATATAGCTGCTTAGCTTTTAGATGCTGTTGCATTTAGACCGATCCTTCCACCAACTTTCCACAAATCATCCCTGGTGACATTTTCACTGTTCACATTGTTGCCTTGCCTCGTGCTGACCCTTGTGAGGCTATCCGCGCATGGAAGCCCTGCTCACCTTCAATGCCCAGAATCCCACGGGACACTACTCTTTGGACTTGAGCAACAGTTGCTGAGCTCGACCAGACTCACCAGGAGCTTTGAAAGGTCGACTTGTGGGCTCGAAAAATGTTTGGACGACGAGTTCGACGAACGACGCACGTCGGGCGAGGTGCACGTCGGCTGGAGATCGCAGGGTTCAGCCTTTGGGGAACGGAATCAATGCTTTGTGTCCATGGGTGTTTCATGTATAAAGCATGTTTCTTCGACGCAGGACTGATCGATTTATGGATCATGCACAAGAAATCAAGACACAAACTTGTGCACATGCCGTGCATGTTGAGTAATGTGTTTTTTTGTCGCACCCACCGTGGCTATATCATATATATATATATTCACACTGATTCATAACGCTAGAGTTACTAGCCTTCAAATTTTTGATGGTTATCCAAAACTACCCATGCCCATGGATAACGTGCAAAACCGTTTTGGCGGATTTGGTTCCCCCACCGATCTACAAGATGGGGAGAAAGGTTATATAACCTGGACTTTCCAGATTCTTTCCAGGGAACATGCAGGGAACAAGGACCCTCCACCCCTTTCGCTGGCCATTCGACCTAAGGTTGTGAGTTCGCAGTGGCCCAACGACTCTTGCTACTGGACCGCTGGGAGGCGGTTTGCAACAAGCGCCGGCAGCGCGTGGACACCTCGGCCATGGGGAACAAGTCCCAGCTGCGCACCTTGGTGACCTGTCGTCGGTCGTTGACCAGCATGGCAGGCGATGACCTTAAAGCGCCGCTGGTTTTGTGAGTGGTTAATTAGAGCACTAAAATATACTGAACTTAAAAAACATATGTGTATATATCGACGTCAAGATTTCCTGTATAGAATGGATGGCCTCAAGGCCCTTATGACAGCTCTTTTTTAAATAAGGAAATGACGTTTGGGCCCCTAACTTTGTAAGAAAAATCTGGTGATATCAACGTTGTAGCCATCCATTTTGCAACAGATACATTTCGTAACATTTCGTGAGAAATCCGGTCATTTTATAAGGCTTTCGAGGCCTTCGAGAAAAAAAACAAAAACATTCTACATAACATATTGTTTTGCTATCATGATCTATCATGATCAGATATACATAGATATACTGTAATCAACATTGCAGGCAAGAAGGATTGCAGGCAGGAATCCTTTTATACAAAACCTGGGGCAGGTTGCCAAAGGGGTTGCGTTTTTATAAAGTGCCTTGGACCAGAGTCGCATCACCAGATTTCTGTAAAGTCAAGGATTCGCAGGGGCAGGGGGAATCGTTTTGCTGATTGATGGAGAGAATTTTTTTTTATAGAATGTCTGGGGCAGGTTGCAAAGGGGTGGCCTCTTTATAAAATGCCTGGGCATAATTTCATATCACCAGATTTCAGTAAAATCAGGGATTCTCGAAACTCTGTGGGTAGGATGGGGCAGGGGAAAGGTTTGGCTGGAGGATTGCAGGCAGGAATCCTTTTATAGAATGGTTGGACCCGACGTCATTTTTCTAAATCTTCGGGCCCCAACCCCTTTGACTACAACATGACCGGCTACAACCCCTATGAGCTCCCAGTTTTTTGTCCATAGACAGGCGCACGAAACTTTTATAGAATGGATTTTCGATACAGGTCAGCCAATCATTTTGCAAGAAGGATGCCTTTGCGTCCATGCATTTTGTAACAAATGAGGTTGGGGCCCCGCAGGTTTTGTATACAGAATGGTTGGCCCCGACGTCACCCATGAAATCTTGACGTCGATATATATATATATATACATATATATAAGAATATATAAGTATATATATGTTTTGTTGAAATCATACTTAAATACCATGAATATATGCTATTATATGCATTTGTAGTCATGCGCAAAGTCCGATGTCTTCCGCTTCGGCGAAGACTTGACGTGGCGAGGGGAGTTTTCTTCCTCGCCCTCGAGGCAATGAGAGCCATCGGGGACGACCACTCCATTTGCGAGTTCGATCCGTGGCAGACTCTTGGGCAGTGGAGTGAACGATCAGTGGAGGAGTGGACAAGATGTCGATGTGGATCGGAGGAAAGTGCTGCGTGGACTTTTTGGATACTTTTTGGCTGATCTTTTGGGCGGCTACCTTTGTGAAGAAAAAAAGGACCAATAGTGCCATATAGTGCTGGTACTGGCACTCAAGACTCAAGATGAACCCTGGCTCAGTTTGAAGAGCCAGTCATGAAACACCTCGAAGGCCACAGATAGTGTTCCTATGTGTTCCTCTCTCCAGGTGCCTCTCAAGTGGAGAAGGGAGATCGCACCCACGGGCCGTTCCCAGTCTGGATGCCCAGACTCGATGTGGAAGGTCAAGGCCGAGCCCAGTTGGACTCACCAGCCCTCGCAGCGCCGGAGACATCCCCGGCAACTCCCAAGGGTTTGAGATGGTTTGATGCCTTTGGAATGGGGGCGGCTCCATGCGGCGCCCAATTCGGCCACTCGAGGAATGGAGTTTGCCCGAGTATGGTATCTTCGACTTGGACTACGTGAGCTGCTACCGACCTCCGGCCAAGGCCAGCCCCTTGAGCGATGGCCTTTGGGACGCCTGGCAGCTTTTTAGGTGGGTCCTTTGTTTTGGCGACGCCCAGTGCAATTCCATATGAATGAGTTCATGTTTGAATATGTTTTCATGTTAATTACCAATTAACTGGGTGAAGTTCACCCCATTGAACCCCAAAAAGAGACATAGATGGCCTTGTACAACCAATGGGAATATGGTACCCGGCGCACTGACCCCTCCATTACTGCGAAGGGGGGACATCATTGAGAAGAGACCCGTGGGACACTCTGTTTGAAGCTCAAGATGATGACTTCCCCTCGGCTCAGCCTCCAACTCTTAGGAATCCCTCATGGTTGCCATGTACAACTGCAAGGACTGCAGCACGACCTCGTGTGCTTTTCTTAGCGCTGGGGGTGGGATTTTGGTTGCTCAGAGTCTTGCGATTCTTAGCCTGTACGACAGGCTATGGCATAGGGTTGTACGACAGGCACGGGAACGGAACGCATGAAATTGCTTGAGCAAACCCATACCTGCATAAACAAAGCAATGGAAAGCTAAACAAAGAAACATCGTAGTAGGAGCTGTTTCCTGACATGAGGCCCACAACCTTGTCTAGTGCCACGTTAGGATTTTATCACAATTTGTAGGAGCCTCCTATCACAATAAGGCCCCCCAAAAGGCTAAATTATGACACGGTAAGTTTTTCATGGGGGTTGGCATGCATGAATATATATATATATATTATAGTGGTGTACACCGCAATTGGTAGCCTGTAAATGTATGTATGTAATATAGTCTTGAGAATTGGTGGGTGTTGAATATTACTGACCTCCCGTGGTGAATATATGCAGCATTTGTGCTGCTATATGTTGACCCACAACACTACAGCCATCCTTGACCACACCTCATGTTGCGTTTACTGCCACACCATTCCTAGACCTTCTGCCGTACTTGAAGTGATGCCTGTATTGGCGGAACAAGGGCTCTTCCGCAGGAGTACCGGCCCCAAGACAAGTTGAAGGCTTTGAGAAGCATCTCACACTTGATCTTCATCACTTGCATGCACATGCGCCAGATGGTGGGCGTCCTGGCCAGGTTCGATGTTCGATGATGGATCAATCCAATGGATTCGGGCATTCAATGGAGGAAAACCCACCTGGGACCTACACTTATACCCAAGTGCAGGTGTTGCACCTTGTTGACACATGAACAGTTTGAGACTTAGTGGATGGTCATGCCACTAACATCCACTAACACACAACCCTCGTGGAAATGGGAATGGGTTTTGTGTGTATACACACCCTACTTCAACCACCCAAGTTGGTATCACAGAAGCGCCGCTGTCAAACACCTACACCACCCAGTCAGTGGATAACCGTTTTGGGAAAGTTGTTTCCTCACTAAAATCCAACGGGTAGAAAAGGGCAGAATATTTCAAGGGAAACTGAGGGAGAATGTATGGCATACCATGCACCGGTACATACAATGGGCCTTGTTCTACTAGCTGTAGTTGGCGGCTCAACTCCTGTGCGTGAGAGGCTCGGACAGAGCCAACATGTGGAGGCCATCGCATACAAAGCTAGGATATATTGTGGGAGAGGCCAAACTTGTTCTGGGGCAATGTATTCAAGCTGCTCCCATTTGCTCCCTACTTCAAACCTCTTGGTTTGATGGGGAAGCCGTAGAGGATGCCTTCCAAGCACTGTATTCTTGCACTTCGGATGTAAGAGGGAATGTCACAGACCAATCAGGGAAGAGGTAGGATGTTCATCCGTTTTCATGCCAGTTGGGGCAGACGTCACCCAATAACCGGTTTGTCAGACTTAAAGGTGCAAAAGGGTTAGTTATCACAGCTTCTCTAGCGCCTCGCGGATCATCACGTCCTGTCCGACTGGTCACCGCCCTGTCGCGGAAGGAGTCGCAAGCCTCATCCGAATCCCATCCATGGGCACAGCTATGTACAGCTTCACACATTGCTGCTTGCACACCTGACCATAGTCAACTTAATTGCTTGATTCTTACAACCACAAGGGTATTCAAACAAGTCAAGTAGTTTTTGAACAGAATGGGCAAGGGCCAAATTCTTACTTCATCCCTGCTCATTGGGTTCACAAGTGCGACCTTCCAGTCAAGTCATGTGCTTCAAATCATGACCTACTTTCTCACACCGCTCCTTTTCTCCCCCAGCGAACCTTTGTGATGTGTCCAATTGCTCCAACTGGGTCAGATCAGGCTACTTTCAAGAGAGTGAGTTCAGAGAGGAGGCCTTTGTGACCTTCTTTCCCCGTGTGGTGGACATGCGCCTTCGCCGCCAGGGCATAGGACTGGGTGAGGCTGAAGAGATGTCCTGGAAAGTGGCACGGGAGGTCAGTTGGCCTGTCAAGTTGTAGATGTGATGGGTACTTGTTAGGTTAGTTGCTGCGCTGCGACTGACCGGGGTAGATGAAGTCCTGCTGCCCTTGACTTCAATGTTTTGCACATTCGTGATTCATAGTTGGGACATGCTGGGGAACATTCGATGAAACGGACATCACTGAAATACCCAAAGTCTTAGTCAATGATCAAATATGACCGGATGATATGATTGTCGTCCAGCCCAAATTGCTTTACTAAAGCCAATTGAACCAGTAAAGCAATTGAACCAATAGTCGTAGTCATGGTGGACCAGCTCCAGCCCAATGAACTGAAATTGAACCAGTTTAAGTCCTACGTTACGGGCAGAGCACCCACCACATCACATGACATGGGCTTTTTGTCGGTCTATGTTCCTTGGATCAATTGTGCGAGTTGCCACATCACGAAGTGTGCGTACAAGCAAGCCAGAAGTGTGCGCACAGCCTTCAGATCCAAACGTGCTCAAGTAATGAACGCTGTTGGCGTTGACCTGACATACAGCAATAGAGATAAGTGGAGCGCGTTCCCCCTTAGCTGCTAAAGCCATGGTGCATGACAACTCATGGGGGATTCTCAACAATCATCACCCAAAAGCTAAAAGCCTCAAAGTTTCAGTGAAAAATCCGTTCCACTTAGGATTTCAACTTTCACAGTCTTGGGTCGGGATATCCCAAGTTCGTACACATATCACGTATCAGTTGCACTGCACCATCCAAACAAACACATGAGACCAAAGGTTCCCCGTGCCTTTGCAAGTATCTCCGTACCAAGGGTTCTCCCTAATTAGTCAATGGAAGCTCGACTATCTTGCAGACCACTTTGACAAAACCACCCTTTTGGATTGAACAAGTGAACAATCTCTTCATTGGGGGTGTTGTTTTTGTCAGTCTACTTGATCCACATCATTCCATGATCCCTTGTGTGTCCACCCGGCGGAGGCACAACTCCAAGCAGTTCACCGTGCGCTTTGATCGCCAGGACGGGCGGCAAGCACTGGAAAGGCATGGGCAGGACCTTTCCACCCACATATAGAGATGTTGACTGACAAGTAACCCCCTTAGATGGTGATAGATGGACATGTTTGACCAGGATCGGGTTTTGATTCTTAGCAAGAGTCAAAAACATATGACTTGTCTCAGCCCTAGCTTGAGCAGATCAAGTTTGGGACTTTGCAACCCAGGTGGGGTTTCGAAGTCCAAGTCCTCTTGGTTCATCCTTTCTCCTCAATTCAGCATGGTTTGCAAGTTCGTGGATGTTTGCATATGTTTCCGGGTGGTTTCAGCCTGAAATGGATACATGACTAGCATACACCCCGGAAACATCCCAGGAGGGGCGATCCTGGATCGCCCAAGCTTCAGCATGGCCCCAGGAAGAGCTGCAGAGGCTACGGAATCGTTTGGGCTTTGTGACATCCTTCCCATTCCTTCAGCCGGTGACGCGGAGAGGAAGACCAACGGGTCGACCAAACGAACGGCTTCGCGACGGTCGGGTCATGGTGGACCGGGTGTTTGGCTCGGTAGCATTGAGACTGGGCAGGTCGAGCAGAGAGAAAGCGGATCATTTTTGCAGGAAGATTCAACTATTTAACTATGTTGAGTTCATTGTGATGATATTTTATTTTTCCAAAACCATCGGAGTCGCTGTTTCAAGGTGGATGAGCCCCCCTCCTTTTAATGGATGGCCGTCGCAGTGTCCGGGCACCCCAACGAACTAAACACACAGTCTCACTGCTATCACTGCTTTTGGCAGTTGGCTACCTGTAGGGAAGGCAGGGACATGTATGAACATGTTAATGATTTGGAGTGGAGTCATCGCCCACCTTTACGTTGATAGGGATTTACCCTCTCTCAATGGGCAGTCTTCAGTCTTGTCCTTGCAGTGCGTCTGAGGAAAACACTCGATATGCAACTTGGCAGCCACGTGGGTCAAGCATCAGGTGGTCGACGAAGACCCTCTCCCAGGGAAATGTTTTTGGATGTGTTTACTTATGGACTATCAGCTACACCCGGGAATTTTAACATGAAACCTGAAAATGGACCTTTGGAAGACTATTTTCCTCTACAGCCCGTTGCAGACCAGTAGTTTTCAGGTTCCATGTGGGTCTCTTCCAGGGTGTATTTGTACAACTGGACAACCACTTAACCGCTTCAGGATTTCCCTAGGTCAGCCAGCCATGGTCAGCTAAGTAACTCCCTGCCAGTTCCGATCAATTGACAAGGCACGACAAGGCTTACGACTTATTGAAATGCAACTTCATAACTTCCGACATCGTAGGGTGACTTCGGACCTTGTAAAGGTTCAGGCGGCATGTGCTTGAGACTGGATGTGGAGGTGATCAGGTGACCAGAATGGGTATGCCTTTGTTCTTCAAGGACCTTCTTCAGGTCCATCCAGTCCTTTCAGAAAGGGCCGCCTGAATACCGGACAAGGTCCATCCCGTGTGCATGTTGACTCGGAAATGGGAGGCCCCAACCTTAGCAGGGTACACAGCGATTCGTTCATGGACCATCCGAAACAACCGGTGGATGTTTCGTGCTCCTCTGCTAGGTCTTGAACCTGAAGTACAACGATCAGCGCCTCTGCTGCGCACTGCTGGTGGACCTGGCCATCAAAGAGAAGTTCGGCGCCTCGGCCCCGACGAGACGCACCAAAAAGGAGACGAGGATGTCCCGGATTTAGAGAGCATCGCTTGGTTTTGCTTAGGGCTTGGATGGGCTTATATAGGGTGATTTCGGTTGTCCCGAACATCGTCAATCCCCTTTGGACGATGTGTGTTTCTGGCCGGACACGAAATCCATCACGCCCCGCGAATTCTGCCTCAAAAATAGCCCGACGTGAAGCATTTGTCGTTGGAATATTTGCTATGCAAGGTCAAGGCACATATCGGGGTCTTGTTTTAGTTGGGGTGTGTCCAGGTTCATCGTTTCTACCAAACGCTATGCGTTTGGCGAGAGGCCTCTCTACACATTGACGTGTGCTTACTTTTTCTTGGGGGGTCATCGGGAGTTTCCAGACTTGTTCCTTGCCTCTCGACGGAACCTATGATCGGCCTTCTGGAAATTAACGACTCTTTTAGCGTTTTGGATCGTTTGGGTATGTTTTGGGACTACTAGGCCCCACTAGAAGAGTGGGGCCACTGTTAGAGCCTCAGCATGGTCATTCTCTTTTGCAACTGACGCTCTCAGGTTTGGCGGTACCTATATTTACTAAGAGTAGTGCCATTTCATGCAATTTGTTTGTGTGTATGTGGTAGCTCGTCGCGGGGTGGCAATATTCGCATGCTGCATAGGTGTTCTCGTCTCACGCTCTCATGCTGGTAAGACTCGTGTGCACAGATGCGTGAGCTACTTGAGTTCTCTTAGCTGAGCGCTACCTTAGGTGCCATCCGGGTAGCTGATGTGTCCATGTTCCAGGTTCATGTGGTCTCAGGCAACATCCGGGAGTATAGCTACATCACCGAGGAGGGTTTGGTCGATCCGCTCACCATGGGTGTGCCACGCAGCTGGGGCGACCCGGCCAAGACGCCGAGCTCGGGCACGCCGCTTGGCGGACAAGGATGAAGGTCATGAGTCATAACACTCCATGTATGGTATCTAAAGAGTCAACGCAGCTATATTATAATATATAAGTACAACATAGTACAACCATATATGATTCTGATACATATATATATATGCCTAGATGACTCCCTCCAACCTCCCCAAATAAAAAAAGACACAATAGTATCCTTAAGAGGTGGGAGTTGATGCAGTTGTTTACCTGTGGTGTGTATGGACATGCGGTCGCGCTTGGCAGATTGACGAACGAAAAAGAACACATGGGTCAGCTCATGTCAGAATGTTGCTTGATGAAAACCTCCGATCAGAATGGCTTTACATCTCCATATGGGTAATATGCGGGGCAGTTTGTGGTAGCCATGCATAATGTGCCCCCCCCAAACTTCACAAAGCGTGGAATCTTCTTGGGACTATTGGGATCAGGTCGTACTTCAGCATTGCAGTCACCTACTGTGCCCATGTTTGAGCCACAGTCTTGCGACCATACTCGTTCATTGTTGCATTCACGTTGCCATGTCCGTTGGTCAAGGTTCACCTGCAAATATGCCGCTCAGGCTGCGTTGTGAAGGAAGTTGGGATGCATTTGTTTCGCGTGGGGTTGGAGGCCCCCATCCCATAGTGCAGACAGAGTTTTTCTGTGCAGCTTGGACACACCTTCAGGTAAGGCTGGTTATGGCACCCAATAGCCCAATAGCTATTCTTTCTGAGATGCTTTTGGGGGGGAGGGCATTTTTGCTCCGACCCACCCACTACTATCCATTGCCTGGTTCCACAGGCCGGTCATGTGGGGAGGGTGTCCAGGTGCCCAGGGTCGGCTTGCCGTCTGGGTCAGCACCATGCACTTTTCGGGGTGGCCACAGCGAAGTAAAGGCCTTTAGATCTTTTTGGGGTCGCCCTGGGTCCCTTCAAAAGGCACCAGTTGGGATCTGACCCAAACATCGTGAAGGGGATATGTATGGAACCAAGCCATAGTCCACCTGAATTCTAAAATCTTTACGCCGAAGGCGGGACCGAAAATGTAAGCCACGCTTTCCAAGGTCCTTTCATGCAAAATGTAAGTTGCATTTATGGAACAGGGGTAGGTTATGCAATTTACATGTTTGCACGTCCTGCTGCACACAGTGCCGGTTGCAGCGACTTGCGTTGTTGCAACGCCGTAAAGGCACACAAGAGCCATATAAAGGCAATTTATCTGGATCTAATCCTTGGAGTGATGGGAGGGATTGGGAATTGGGGGTCGTATGGGAGTTGGATGGGACATTTTTTTTCCATTGGACCCGCTAAAAGAAGACGATTCATGAAAAGTGCATGAAATTCCCGAGGCCTTCCTGGAAGGTTTGATGCTTGGTCCACCATCTGGGGAAGCTTTCGCATGTAAGGACATGTTTCAAACAGCCGACTGGACTTCCAGGATCTTCCAGGCCTAGGCGTGGTTGCACACTTGGCGGTTCTCCCCCTTATTTCATCAAGCAACCGCCATCCGTGTCCGAGGTGTGTGCTCCGGAGGATCGTCAAGTGGACTTCCGCTGCTTGGCAGGGTCGGCGAGTAAGAACCTGTTCGCTTTGCGGGTTCGTTCTGCGGTGAGAAGACGTTAGGAAAGCGCGTTTTTGTGAGAAGCCTCATGTTTTGGCCGCGGTGCAAGTATTGTTGTGGCATGTTGTGGCCAAGTGGCCAGATTTTTGCTTCAAGCTATTTCAAGCTTTTCGATTGGGCGGATGGCCTGCCCGCCGACCCTACCTGGACCTGCCTATTTACACTAGTATCAATAGTACCGTTGGGTTTGCTCAGACCTGCTCCTTGAGCCGGATGGCTTTGCTTGATGTTAATTCGCAAGCTTGAGCAGTAAGCACCGGGAGTCCGCTTGAGCCTTTAGCCTGGCACAAAGGCAACATGACCATGCGGTCGGTGTTCGAAGTGCTGGGGTTCCGGTTCCCGAAAGTAGAGGTACTAAATCAAGACAGCCCGTGTGCAACTTGTGCTGGCCGATTTTCCAACAGTTCAGCTTGGCGAGCGGCGGGTTAGGCAGTGTGTGGTTGTCGCCACAGTAAGCGCAGAACTCTTTACAGTATGACATGGGCACATTAAGAGGATTTAAATGATTTAAGAGGAATTTCAATATCAGTATCGCGGGGAAGGACTTAACTTTGCTGCCTTTTAATGTTTCTTTGCCGATGTCATACTACAACTGTCAAAGACTATGGCAATGGTCCAAGATCAGCCAGGCCAGGACCAGGACATCATAGTTTGGGTCTGAGACGATGTGAAGTTCAAGCCCCTGTTCACCACCCCTGACCTTGAATCAGCTTGGTAGCGAGCCTCTCCACCCAGCAAGCCAACAAGCCACCTTGCAATTTGCAGGTAAGAAGTTGGCACAGACCTACGGCTTCATCAACACCACCTTCAACGACGCAGACATTGCCTGGTGGACAGGCGCAGTCACAGCGCCATTCGTCCGATAGCCGTGACCTACGTGTTGTTTCCAGTCACCCTAAAAATCTAGGAACCAAATCAGTGCGAGCATGTGAGAGCGCTTCTTCAAGGAAGCTCCCCCCGCCTTCAGGCCGTGGGAGCTTCCTTCAAGAAGCGTGAGCTATCCTGCGTCCAGTTGCTAGAGGCATTTGGAAGCTAACTAGTCGCCCTGAGCTTCTCCCTGACTTAATCAAGTAGGAGCCGATTTAATAAAAGGCAAGCACAAAAGGGGACAAGTGAGCCATTCGGATCTCATTAGCGATCGGTTGCACGACCGGCCTCGGTGGCCAATGATTTGTGGAGCTGATAGTGCTCGAACGAAGGCAGTCGAAAGACACACGCACGCATCACGCAGTCCGATCGCCTACTTGCATCGTCTTGAAGGTCTTGAGGGCAAATGCTTCTTGCATAGTTAAATCTGCATGTTCTTGAAAATTTAACGTCCTCTCATTCATTCTCATTATTTTTTCTTATGAACTTTTTGCATCAAACATATAAGAACACACGCCCCCGGAGAAGTTGGAGGGCTCAACTCCTTACCGTGCCTCACAGCCTACCCTGTGCACCAACGCGCCATGGGGGAGTCGGAGCCATGCTATGTGGCACTGGGCAGTAACATGGGAGATCGGCTGAGGCATCTCAGTGGAGCCCTTCGCTCCTTGGTGACCTGGTTGAAGCTGAGCACGTGGATAGCCATGGTACAGAGGTGACAGGGGATTCTTTGTAACATAGTAACATAGTTTATACCCGGTACCCAAAGTAATGCGTACATGGAGTTTTTCATCGGCGGCTTGGTGGAGAACAAAGAATGAACATGTTCTTTGCCAGGGTAATGGTGGACACTGAGATCTGGATTGAAGGGTGGATTATAGACATCGCATCTTCGCAGTCTTCCATGCTTCGCTTCAAGGACTTGACGGAAGGCGATCGGGAGGATGCCAGGATGCCACTCTTTTTTGGACGGCCGGCTCCACTAGACTCTAGTTTGATCTAGTTTATATAGATGTTTTGCCTTGTAGGGCAACTGTTTCAACCCACCAGCCACTGTAAGAAGCACTCACGGTGCCAGTGCTCAGGTGAAGTTGGAAGGTGTAGAGCTGAGAAGGACCTCCAGCCTCTACTCCACAACTGCGCAATATGTCAGCGATCAACCAGCCTTTCTGAATGCCGTGGTGGAGCTCCAGCTCAGCTCGGCCAGGCGAACCAAAACGTGACCAAGTAAAGGGCGGTGATTGGTGACCAGCCAGGGAGGCAGCAAAGTGAGTCACTACAAAGCAATGTGCTGGGATGTTTCAACAGAAGCAGGAGTCCAAGAGCCTGTTGTGTACTTAAATACCGCACTGGCCAGTAGGGGGGGCAACATCCTGATCAATGACACGGGCTCCTCAGGCTCGAGGATTTGCAGGGTTTGCTCTCTGACTTCAAAGTCATCGAGGAGGAGCTGGGCCGCACCAAGGGGCTTCGGCGAGGGCCAAGGGTCATCGATTTGGACCTGGTGGCGGTTGGACAGCGAAGCTGGGCCCAGTCTTGAGGCTGTTCTTTTGAGATGTTTTGAGGCTTTTGGGAGGTGTTTAAAAGCCCAAATGTAGGGAAAATCGGTTTATGGATCCACGCACTTGTTGGTCTCCAAAACCATCTTTGTTTATCTGACTGTCAGGATACAATTGCATACTATTGCCATTTATTGCCACATTTGCTTTCCACCTTGCAATTGGCATTTGTAAGGAAGTCTCAACATCACCACTGGGAAGTATCCCTTGCAGTTGCCCCATGCACTCATGCACGAGCGTGACTTCGTTTTGGTGCCTTTCGCAGAGCTTTCCCCTGCCTGGACTCATCCAACCTTAGTTGGATCTCCGAGCGTGAGGGATTTGCTGGAGCGGCTGCAGTCCGGAGCGGCTGCAGTCCGGCCGGAGGCGGAAACTTGAGGGAGGGTGGCTGGGGTGTTTGAGTGCTTTGCAGGTTGTTTCTTTTCATGGCGGGTGGGTTGGTTGGGGCAAGGAATGTTGGTCCTAAATTTGATTTGATGCACTGAGCAGGTAATTAGATCCCTACAATATCTATTTCCACTCTGGTCCATCATTTGATTCCTGATCTAGGGATTTCAAAGAGGTCACAAGACAATAAAACACATGTCTCATCATTTGCCACACGGAGTCAAAGACTGTTTGATGGTATTTTCTGAGTTTGATGACCGAATCGGAGATTGATGCAGGTGAGTCAAAGCAAAGATCTCCATGGTCTTTGTGACTTTATGAGGTTCAGCTGGGTGTTCAAACGGGCCACAAACCATAGGAAACGATGGCAAAACCAAACGTCAACCATATAGGGCCTAGGGTGTGCAGCAACAGTCGGCAAAATCATGATAATATCGCATACTTTACTAACACTTTGCTAACCATCATCATCCATCATCATCCACTGTTACTGAAACCTTTACTAGTCATCATCCACTATTATATACGGGTAATGGGGTTTACCCAGACCATATACATAATCAAATGATCGTTGGGATATTTCTGCAGCCATCGCTGGCGCCAGGGCGCGAGCTTGGATTCTTGGCCAGTGCAGATGCTCCCAGGTGCTGCTGGCCTTGGTGCTCGGGTGTCCTCCCCCGGCGTCCTGTGGAGAAGGGGGGAGCAGACGCTAATCATGGGGAGTCCTGGCTTGTGGATCTTGAAGGTTTGGTTTGTTTCCCCGATTGGCAAGTGGAACATCAAGTCTGCAACTATCGGGAATCACAATCAAACCATGTTCTTGTTGTAGGAGCTGAACTCTAAGATCTTTGGGGAAGGCGTTGCCAGGCCCCAAAAGCCACCGTTACACGAAAGCTGCTCCCTGAGGATTCTAAATGTGACGCCAGACTCCTTCAGCGACGGAGGTGATCACCTGGAGCTCCAAGATGCAGTGCAGGCTGCCAAGGCGCAAAATGCAACTATTACACACATTTTTGCCCCCTCTTGGTCCTCCAAACATTTGTGTGTTCACTGGCCACTTTGGGGCCGGAGACGCCCCAGTTGTTCATGTCGCTCTTTTCGTGAAGGACATGATCCAAGCGGGGGCGCAGATCCTGGACATTGGTGGAGAGTCGACACGTCCAGGCTGATCTCCGGTGGACTCGTCACTGAAGCGCGGCGGTGTGGAAGAGGTCTTGGGACGAAGTGGGGTGTACGGCAGGGCCTGGAAAAGTGAGATGTGGAGTAACTAGTAACTATTATTTATTTATGTTTTTCTATCTATCTATCTATCTATATTTCTTATCTTATCTATCTTGTCTATTTAATCTATCTATGTGTCTATCTATCTATTTATCTATCTATCTATCTATCTATAATCTTATCTATCTTACTTATCTATCTTACTTATCTATCTTACTTATCTATCTATCTTATCTATCTATCTTATCTATCTATCTATCTATCTTATCTATCTATCTATCTATCTATCTTTCTTTTTTTATTTCTTTCTTATCTATCTATCTATCTATCTATCTTACTTATCTACTTATCTATCTATCTATCTATCTATCTATCTATCTATCTATCTATCTATCTATCTTATCTACTTATCTACTTATCTATCTATCTATCTATCTATCTATTTGTCTAATGGCCCGTACCTTAAACAATTATTCCAGGGGGGCATGTCACACCGGTAATTTAGTTAAAGGAATATTAAACAAAAACAGGTACATGTTAAACATATTTTCATGAGGGGGTATAAATGATGTTTGCCTGTTTCTGAATTAATGTAAAGATACCGCAGACCAGTGATCTTGATGTGATCTGGCTATTCTACATGGAATCAGGGGGAGTCTATGTTAGTTTTCCCGTTAATTTAATAGAGCCGACATTGTTGCTATGCGGCTTTTGTGTAGTGAATGCAGGCTGGGCATGAATGAAACAAAATCGAAGGCAAACGAAACTGCAATCTGTCCAGCGGGAAGAACTTGTTCACGATCCTTCTTGCTCAAGATTGTCAGGCGATTGCATATTTGTGGTTTGATATTTGGATGACACACTGAATAATTTTGCACATCTATGTGGAACGGGTCTGATTATTATTCCTGGGTACAGGTCAACATAGGGGGGTCTAAGGCAGGGACCATTATCTATCTACTGTATTTTTGTATTTTTGTGTTGACATAATAGATGTCATACAAACCATAGAATTACACTATATTATTTATATAATTATATGTTATTCGACTCAGCCATTGATTGAACCCCCACGTTTGAAGCAAGGAACATGCCAATGGCAGCTGTGGGGCGAGTCGATCGCCAGGTGCTTCGGAAGTGCCCTTGGACGAAGAGTTGAAGCGAGTGGTGCCCGTGATCCAGGGCATCAGGGCGCCTGGGATCTTTGATGCCACAGGCTGTGAGGGGCAAGGTGCTCTTTCGGTTTTGGAGCCAAGCCAAGTGGAGGGGACAAGGTTCCAGCCCAGTCGAAGGGGAACTTGTGGATTCTCATCTAGATCTACCAATCTATAGGGGCCTACGGGCAACTTGTGCCATTTGGAGAGTGGAGAGCTTGCTTTAGAGATCTTAAGAGTCCTTTGAGCATATCTGAGCATGGGAAATCGGTCGCACTTCTGGGACCAGAACGCTCCAACACTCCATGCGGGCCGACCCTTCACGGTTTTGCGCCAAGGAGGCAGGTCTGGAGGCCACCATCAGCATCGACACCCGCAAGGCCTCGGTCGCCCGAAAGGCTTTGGAAGCAGGAGCCGATTGGATCAACGACGTCTCCGGAGGAGAATTCGACCCACAGATGCTCACGGTGGCACCTCGGCCTCAGAGCTGCGCCCTGCAAGTCGACGGCGAAATCCAACAATGATGGCTTTCTTATAGCCAATGATCGCCGAGAATTCGCCGAGAATCATCAATTACCATGCAGGATCAGGGACCAAGCTCAGGCCCCCAAGCAAATTCACCCAACCTGCCAGCTATCTCATGTACGGGACGAATGATTGCCCTGAGGCCTCTGAGTTCCTGGCGCCTATTGTCCTGATGCACATGAAAGGGACACCGGAGACCATGAACTCCTTGGCGACTTACAGCGAGGCGGTGGTCACGGAGGCGCCCAGGAGTTCCCAGGGCAGAAGAACTCAGCCACTCCTTGGATAGAATATGCACTCTGACTCAACTAATATGCATGAAGTGGAAAACCACCATGTTTGCAGAGGACAATGGTCATCCAAGGGGCCAATTTGTTTCACTTCCATGATTGTTGCAAAGAGTGTGTGATAATTTTGCATACGTTGACCCCTCAAACCACCCCAATGTAAATATGATGTTGGGGATAGCTTTTCGGCAGAAAACCACCAACAATGATGGAAATCAAAGCCATTCTCTTCCCTCACCATCGGTGCCAGTGAGTTGTTATATAAGTGTAACTACTGTATCTCCAAGACATTCTGAGACTAAGATTCCAACCAAAGTTGATTTATGGGGTTTTACCCTTTTACCGAACAACTATTGCTTTAGTTTAGACTCCAAGACCCGCTCAACCGAACTCTTTGAATCCAACGGACGGCGACGGCAATCGGCTTGATCGCCCTATACCCTTCAGGTGGGCGACTACCTGTTGACCCGGCGGCGCGCGGCGGAAGCGGCCGGAGTGCCGAGCTGGAACATCATTTTGGATCCGGGGATTGGCTTTGCCAAGACCTTGGAGCACAACCTGAGTCTCGGCCCTTTGTTGGATTTTTTTTCTGCGCGACAGTTTTTGGGCATGTCCGGTGTCAATTTTATCAACACCTACAGTACTTTGCAGATGCTAGAGTCTTTTAGAGTATCAAGACATTTCACGCTTTCGCGATACCTTTCACCAGAACCTCCCAATTTGCTTGAGGCTTTTAGGGCCATGAAAACAAGAAAAACAAACACATCAAAACGCACGTTTTGCAGCTTTCATGTTATGCCGTTGGACTCAGACCGCCTGTGACTCGTCGACCCCTCCTTGACTACACACGTCGCACATCGTAGGAGTTTGTTGCGGCACTGTGGGGAACTGGTGGCCAAGACGCAGCCCTCACCTCTGCTGGTCGGCGCCTCCCGGAAGCGCTTCATCGGGACCATTCTGCAGGACGTGAGTCGGAACGAGAACGCGCGGGGCAGGTAAATGACCAGGTGGGAAAGGCTCGAATTCGGAGGTCGGAAATCAAGCCTGGCAGGTGTAGAAGCTTAAAGATGTATATATATATACTGGGAGAGGAAGAGAGGTCATGAAGAGATTCCAAGAGTCCAATCGCAGGGACATCAAATTGGATTGGATCCCTGAAAGGTGGCTTGGTAGGATTGAACATGATTGAGGGAAGTCATAGGGATTCAACATGTTTCAACGTGCCCCTGGGTAACGTCGCAGGAGCCGGACTTCAAGAAGCGTAGCTTCGGCAATGCGGCGGCGACGGCCATTGCCATCGCAGGTGGTGCCGACCTCGTGCGCGTGCATGAAGCCTGGCTTTGCTATGTGTTGCTTAAGGTGATGTTTATTTATTTTCCTCGCCCCATGGGTAGATCCACTTCTGGGAAATATGTGTTTTTGTCCTGATTCCTTCAGCAAATCCAAGGAAGTCAAGGAGATGAGCCAAACAGCACTGGTTTGTGACCGCATCTACCGAGCGAAGAGCTCCAAGACCGAGTCGTCGAAGTTATGAAAAAAGGAGTGTTGGGGGCTGGCATGGGCTAGCATATTTGGAACGAAGTGGAGCGTTTTCAGATACATTTCTTCAAGAAGTGCCGCCCCTCAAAATACTTTGGGGGATCTCCATGTGCTTGATTGTACTTGGCTACACCCATTTTAAAACTTGTGTATTTCCTCCAACCAGGTCCGGCCTTTCCTCCGGAGACCAAATCCTTCACTTGTTTGGAAGCCAGGCTTGAACGAAGTGGGCGAAGATGTCTTGGATCTTTTGGAGTTCTTCATCAGCCGCTACAATCATGTGAACGAGGCGCATGCGCCGAATAAGGTCCAAGAACTCGCCAGTCCACCTCGTCCAGTCGCCCCGGCACCGTGCCGGGTGGTGAAATCCATCGGACCGGTCGACTCTTTTGAAGGTGTGGAAGAAAAGCGCCCGTGGTGAGAGTTCAAAGGAGCAGTTCCATGATGTTCCATCACCTACAATGATTATTTTTGAGATTGGACTGTTATCTACGAGATTAATGCAAGCATATACCAGCCTGACAAAGCATAGTTTGGGGTGAACCCCTTGGCAGACTAACTTTGTTTGTTTCGTGAAGCCCACCGTTATGATGAAAGGCCGCTCAAATTGGGGTTATTCACTTCATTATTCTGGTTGCCTGCAAAGGTATCTTATCTATGTTTTAGACTAGTCATACATAATTAATACACCGCGGCAATAGTGTAACATATATATATATACACATAAATATCATCATCATCATCATCATCATCATCATCATCATCATCATCATCAT